AGGCCTCATCAGTCCATATAGTTCTGTTTAATGCTGTGTAAAAGGCATAGACTGACATTAGATCAGCATTATTGATCTAAGATGTTTGATTAATTTGTTGTTATTTCACCTTCACTTCATTTAGCTGGTTCATCTTATGAAAAGATGAGTAGTAGTTAAGCTGTTATGTCAGAGTTGGGTGAACAGTAAAGTTGGACATTGCTTTTCGAATGCTATATGGAGTATTAATGAATATTCTATAAGAATAAAAAAATCAGTTAATTGATTGATTGATTGTAAAAACTGAAACTTTTTGCTTTTTATCAAAACTTTTGGGAGTTAGTTTAGGGAAGAAACCTTTAGCCAGTGATGTATCACCCAGACATTTAAGAAAAGCCTCAAGTAGAATTAAATAAACACTGACAAAATGTTAGATTAGTCGATTCGTTGATTAATTGCAAAAGTCGTTGATACCTTTTTATGGTGGGATTAAAATGATTCAATCTGTGCTGGAATCAAGAAAGGAGGAATGGTAGTATGGCAAAGGATATAAAAGCCAGCGAATAATAAACAATATAAATAGTAATATAAAGACATTTTAATAAATTAAAAACATAAATTTCTTTTATTCAGTCGTTCATTTGATTCAGCAACAGTTAAGTGAAAAATAAATTTAACGTAAATATGTTGGATTACAGTTTTTCAAGGTCAGGTTTGTTTGTCCATTATTTACATTCATTTTTCACTGAAACAGGAACAATCATTAGTTGATTAATTTTAAAAAATGGTTGATTAACCGATAATAGAAGTAATCGTGGCAGCCCTACTGAGAACCTTGTGTTCGTTTTTGTTTTTTGCTTATTTTTTTTTCCATTTCTCATTGGGTCTGTTGTTCAAGACAAACATTTGTCTGATTCCCTGTGAAAACGTCAGGGTCCGACACGTTCCTTTAATTGCACCGTGGTACCCAGAATGCACCTGTGTGAGCTGCATGACCTGTTGATAGCTCGTCAGCATGACCGCCGTAAACCCCGCCGTTCTCTCGCGCCGCACTTTCAGTTTCTTAACCTGTGTGTGTGTCTGACGTGTGTCTTCTCGGCGCCTGCCGTCTGTCTTTAAGCTGGTCGCCGTGGAAACGACGCCATCTCCGGACTGCTGGAGGGGGGCGTGTCCGGCGGCAGCCTGGGCGGAGTCCTGGAGGAAGCTCTGACGCGATTGGCCGCCATGCAGAGGCAGACAGAGGAGCGTTTCCGCGTGTGGATGGAGAGGCTGAGCCGGCTGCACTCCGACGACGACGAAAACGAGCCTCAGTCCGGCGCCGAGCCGGGGGGGCGGAGCCACGCCAGCTCCTTCCTGCCGTCCTCTGAGTCTCAGGAGACACTGGCAGCCTATCAGATCGCCCGGCTGAACAACGCCCCGCCCCTCGCGCCCCAGAGCTCCACCCTCAACGGCATCCTGGACTCCCCCGACCCGAACCTGCTGAACGCCTGAAGAGGGGCGCGGCCGCAGAAGAGGAATGGAGAACTATAGAGAAATCAGATCAGCACCGAAAGCCATGCTAAAGACAATACTCCACCTTCTTTCTCTCGTTCTCTCCATCCTCCTCCTCCTCTCTCTCTCCTCAGCTATATCTCTGTCACTCTCTCCATCCTCCTCTTTCTCTCTCTCTCTCTCTCTCTCTCCATCCTTCTCTATATCTTTCTCTCCATCCTCCCCCCTCTCTCTCTCTCTCTCTCTCTCTCTCTCTCTCTCTCTCTCTCTCTCTCTCTCTCTCTCCAACCTCCTCTATATCTCTCTCTCTTTCCTCCTCTATATCTCTCTTCTCTCCTCATCCCTCCATCCTCACTTTCTCTGTTTCTCATTCTCTCTCTTCCTCTCTCCATCCTCACTTTCTGTCTCTCTTCTTCTTTATCCCTCCATCCTTACTATTACTCTCTCTTTCTATCTGCTTCTATTTCTGTCTCTTTGTCCATCTCTCCATCCTCCGTCAGTCTCTCTGTCTCTCTACCTGCTCTCTCTCTTTCACTCTCCTTCTTTCTGTCTCTCCCTTTGTCAATGTCTTTCTTTCTCCTCATCCTTCCTCTTTCTCTCTCTCCACTCTCTCCAACCCCTCTCTCCTTTTATTGCCACCTTTTTTTGTATCTCTCTTTCCCTCGCTTGCTCTCCATATCCCTCCATTCTCACTGTTTGTTTGTCTCTCTAACTTCCTCAAACTCTCTCTCTCCCCACCTCTCTTCTTTTCCCTCCATCCTCACTTTCTTTTTCTCTCATTCTCTCTTTCTGTCCCTCCACCTTCAGTCTCTCTAATCTCCTCCCTCTCTCTTTCTGTCTTTCTCCCTGTTCCACTGCCCCCTCTTTCTGTATCTCTCACTGTCTCCCTCTCTCTCGCCCCCCCCCTCTTCATCCTCACACGTGCCCCTCTACACCTCCTCTCAGGAGTGCTCCTCAGTGTGTGTGTGCCTTGAGGAACTCTTTGGATTCTCTTCATACCAGCTCTGGTGTCTGATTGGACAGATCGGACAGATCGGACTCCACCAGCTCCACAGACACTCTGACCGGCGTCTCGGGACGTCCCGGTAGAGGCAGGCTGCTGCTCTCAGCCCTGCGCTTTATGCTGGAATGGACATGGACTTTTTTAAGTGTCTGAAAGATCGACCAAAGAACTGTTTGTTGTGGTTTGGTTAGAGTTTGGTTTAGTTTGGATTAAGCTTTTTTGTTTTTTTTATTTTTTTTTTTTGTTTTTTTTCTTTGTTATATTACAGCTTATGCATGTAATGAGCTGAAATATAAGAAGCGGTAGTGCATGAATAGCAACACTGTGGTGTTAGTACTAACATAACTTACCTACTGTTAAACAAGTTTAAGCTAGCGTCAAACTGAAGATACAGCAGATACCCCCCCCCACACACACACACACACAGTGCTTTAGCACAGAGTAAAGCGAGAGACCCACCTCCTTTAGTTATTCTTACATTGGTCAGGTTTTCAGTTCAGGCTACCTGTTAGCATCTGTAACACAAGCATTAAAAATGTAGAAATTTGTGGAGGAGTACAGAAACGTTTATCATTCAAAAATAGACAGACTGAAATACAAATGTTGGCCAATTTAAAGTGAACCAAAAGTGGATTATGGAAACCATGTTTACATTAATCGAACCAGCAGAAATGATTTAGTTACTCAATGTTGTAACGGTTTGTTTTTGTCTGTCTTGATGGTTCACATGATCTGCAACAGCATCTGTTGTTGGATTCCAGAGCAGCTCTGCTGTAATGATGGGAAGCTTTGGAACCAGCATAGAACCAGTGTAGCGTTCTGAAGGCACGATTAGTTCACAGATCACTTTTTTTGTGCAGCATTTAAATCAGTGGTTCTCAAACTTGTTCCAGACGGTCCAGAGCTCTATTTAAAAATGTGGACCAGTTCAAGAACCACTGATTTAAGGAACGAGAGGTAGAAGTTTTTAAGTAGCGTCACTTAGTATTTTAGTTTTTAATATGTGATTATTGAAAGGAATCAGTTAAAAAAAAAACATGTAAGCTGACAATACAACACCAAGTAGGTCTAAACTGCAGTGAACCTTGAGAGACAGAGGAGAAAAAATAGAAATAGACTATATAAATCAAATTGGAGATGCATCAAGAAGCGTTTTGTAATCACATCTTGGCCTCCTGAATTAAAATCGAATCCCACTTTTTTACACACACACACACACACACACACACACAAACATACACACACACTCTTAACGGCAGGGCTAAAAGACGAAGGTTTACAGTTGACCGTTTTCCTCTAACAGGGAACGAGCTTCTTTAACGAGTGTGTTAAAACTGAACGAGTGAATGGACTGTAGGATGAAAATTAATTTTCTTATTACTTTGATTTTCTTAGTATTAGCATCCAGTTTATGCCATGTTTGAGTGCCTGATCAAAATTAAAATGGAAGATGTCATCTGCGTTCCTGTTTGTGTGTTTTGTTATGGAGAAACTGTCTTTCACTGTTCTGCCTTTGTATCAGTGATGGACAAATATGTTCTGCATCATCTAGCTTTGTCCATAATGTGTGTCCAGCTTCATTTAGATCAGAGGTGTCAAACTCAACCACTACGATGGCCATATAAAAAAACCTCTATGACTCTATGGGCCAGAGAACGTCTGTTATAACCTGAGCTGGTGATTGTTTATTCAAAATACACCAAAACACCAAGATCAAAGTAAAGACACTTGCAGTGAAACTTGGAATTTTACATAATGAATGTGAAATATTCAAAAATAAAATAAATGAATAAATATATAAATAGGCTACAGTACACAACGTTATGTACATTACCGTAGGCTATATTATGCAAATGATGCTGCTGTGCATGCTGGGGCTTGTAGTGCAGAACATTGTTAACGGGCTAATATTGATAGAAAATGAAAATAATTTTGCGGACCACATAGGATTACGCTACGATTACGCCTGATCTGGCCCCGGGCCTTGTGTTTGACACATGGGATTTAGATTGACACGAACTGAGACTTTTCTGATATCATAATTAATATAAAAGAAGAGGAATCAGAATTGCAATCTGAATTGACCAAAATTGGAATGGTCCAAACGTGCACTCCGCTGTTTCAGCTAAACTGTGCTGTGATTTTATGTTGAATGGTATGAGGCAAGTCATTTGCGTTTGAATGCCGCTCCCTTATCTGTAATATCGTGCAGTAGCACTTTAGAATGGCAGATTGGCTCATTGAAGAGCAAATTATGGTGTTTATATTATGATTTTTGGCTAATAGAAAGTAATGGAAATGTGTGAGGGTGTTTCTTCTGTTCATGTACCCTATAGGCATTCACAAAACGACGTGAGCTTCGGGGATATTTAAAAGGCCAATAAAAATCAGACAAAAAAAAAATCAACCAGTGGCCAATTTGACTGTGAAGATGTTTGAATTGGTCAAACAAATTCATCTAACCTAGTACCCGTAGGTAGCGGTTGTTGATGTAAACCTAATTGCAGTAAATAATTGTTTGTTGCAGTGGGTCCTGCGGTTGTTGGGCACTACGACATCTCAGACACACACTCTGAACAGGAGCAGCAGCCTCGCACTCTCTCAGGTCAGTTAAAGATAGCTACCAAAATGCTGTGGTGTCGTGGACACACAGTGGTACTTAACAGTAGATCTAAGCTTTCAGAGGCGCTCACACATCGGACACATTGCACATCTATCGTTTTCTTTGACTTTGATTTGGGTTGAGCAGAACGAGTCGTAGCTAACTTTTAGAAGATGCAGGTATCACTCATAAGAACTCGCGATGTAATTCGATATAAATTATTTCTCACGCTTGTTGAAACAAGCAGAGTCTGATAAGCTATTAAAATAGTTATCGATGAGTTGTGCTGTGTTAATTGCGATTAATCACATTTGTTGTATTTGCTCAAATAACCCAAACCTAAAAATCACGTGTTTTTCGCAGAGTGAGCGCTGTTTTCCGTTTTCATCACCATTAAGAGAAAATGTATATATTACCTCATATGCACTCCAAGTACTTTATTAGGAGCACCTGTGCACCTGCTCATGCATGCAATTATAAAATCAGCCAATCATGTGGCAGCACCGCATAAAATCATGCAGATACAGGGAGGTTATGTTCACATCAACCATTGAATGGGGGAAACGTGAGCTCAGTGATTTTGACTGTGGTATGATTATTGGTGCCAGATGGGCTGGTCTGAGTATGTCTATAACTGCTGATCTCCTGGGATTTTTATACACATCAGTCTCTAGAGTTACTCTAAATGGTGCAACAAAGAAAAAACATCAGAACAGCAGTTCTGATAACTGAAACACCTTATTGAGAGAGGTCAGCGGAGAATGGCCAGACTGGTTAAAGCTGACAGAAATGTTAAGGAAACTCGGATAACCACTTTGTACTATTGTGCCGTGCAGAAAAGAATCTCAGATTGCACAACACATTGAACCGTGAGGTGGATGGGCTACAACAGCAGAAGGCCATGTCGCATTCTACTACAGTCAGCCAAGCACCGAGGGCTGAAGCTGCAGTGGGCGCAAAATTGGACCGTTGGAGACTGGAAAAACGTAGCCTGATCTGATGAATCCTGTTTTCTGCTGAGGCACAAAGATGGTGGGGTCAGAATTTGGTGCCAACAGCATGAATCCATGGACCCAACCTGCCTTGCATCAGCAGTCCAGGCTGGTGGAGGTGGTGTAATGGTGTGGGGAATGTTTTGTTGGCACACTTTGGGCTTTAAAATTGGAACTGTTTTTGAACGAGAACGCTGCAGCTTGGCTTCAGCCTGTGCTACTATGTATAGTTGTTTGACGAGTCAAATGCTGGAAAAGGTGTAATTGGTGTTAGAAAAATGTTTGGTGGTAATAATTCATCATGTTTGGTTTGTTCGATTAGGAAAAACGTGAAACTGTGTAGTGCAGGTGGACTGTGGGACTGGTGATGGGCAATAGTGGGGTGGGGAACATGGTAAACTGTGTAGTGCTAGTGGGTGACAGGACTTTGACTAGAGCCTTCAGATGAATATCCTCAGAGATCTGTCATCTGACAGTGCAACTGGCAGGACGTAAACTTCTTTTTGAATCATGTTTCATTTCACAAGTTATTATGCTTGCATTGTGTGGCGAGTTGGTGACTGTTTTTCCTGTGGTTTCACTGCAGGTCCAGTAGAGGCGGAGCCTCCGCAGGTGAGTCTGGCGTCCTCTGACAGCGAAGTCGAGATTGTTGGTGTGCAGGAGAATGCCAGGTTGGTCACATTCCTAGTTTTGGGTAGATTTCTGTTTGAAATAGGTTATGTAACATAAGAGTAGGTGATAAAAGATAACTTCACAATGCACAATGCAGTACATCATGATTTTTTGTTTGTTTTGTAAAGAAACTCTGTTGGATAAAATGTACCAGCAAAACAGTAATTCATCTGCCTGACTGACTGACTGTAATTTATCATCATTTGAAAAATGTAACAATTTAAAAAGGATCAAGAGGAAAAATCAAACAATAGGCAAAAAAATAAATTGATGAAATAAGGTCATCACTTGTTGCTATGCAGTTTAAGCAGTTACTATAGTTGGTTGTATTGTTGATGGGCTCTCAAATCTTAAGACTTAAAGACTTAAATCTGTCTATTTTATAATCCTTGCAATTGTTCAGTATTTTACAAATACTGAAGATACACTTGTCTGAATATATATATGGTCTCATAACATAATTTAAAGGGCCCATTTCATGGAAAACTGAATTATCCTCACATTTTCTGAAGTATGTAAACATTGTTAAAGTTTCAAAATGTACCATTCGCTCTAGAGTCCGAACAGTCCATTTATGGAAACTAAGCTACGAAAAGTAGCTTTCTAAGCTTTTTAAATTCATTGTTTTTGTGTATCTATATTTGTACAGTTACATATATATGTATATGTGCATAGCCTAAAGCGCTTAAGGCCTACCCATTCAGCCTACAGCAGTTTAGCCCCACCCATTCAGGATGAAGCTATAAGGAGTGTTTCAGCCTGGACTGCTTTTTGAATGAGGCACAAGAAAGGGCAGCCAGTCAGAAAACCTAGATATTTACTTATACAAGTCTTAAAGGCACAGGAATGAAAATACTGTGTTTAATTCTAAGGGATAAAGCGAGGTTGGAATGAGCCCATTCCTGTGCTGTTTCAGGTGCCAGTTTTAACTGGCATTTGCTGTTGAATGTACTTTAATGACAGTTGTTTACATGACTGTTTATACTGTCTCTTCCATGACGAAACTTGCACTGATGTTCCTCCTGTTTCATTGTCATTGTTCCAGTGCTGTGTGTCGGTTTCCCAGAGGTGGCGTCATCCAGTCTCTGTCATCTTGGAAGCAGAGAGCTCCGCCTTCCTGGACAGCAGTCTCCGCCCAGCCTGGCTGGGCCCCACCTCCAGAGGTGGTAGATCTGACACTGGATGAAGACCGGCACAGATATCTGCTGTGATCTCGCATACACTCTCTATGCACTCATACACATACTGTTGGCCTGAGTGTCTTAAAACATTTCGAAATTTATCCCTCTCTTAGTTTCTCAGAGAAAAATGTCAGCAGTTTGTTTAGATGGCTTTCTGAAACCCTGTCAGCGGTGGAACTGTCTGAGCTGATCTTAGGACGATATTAGAATGCTTTCAGAAGGCCAGGCACTGGCCAACACGCCAAGCTAAAAGTGTGTAGATGCGCTATTGGAGTAACCTTGATTACCTTGTGGATTAGTGGTGGATGGAAGTGGAACCATCACTCGCGTTTGTGGAAATAAGCTTCAAGTACAAGCAGGACCTTTTTTCCCTTGCAAGTATGAGAGAAAAGGTGTTCTTTAGTATCTGTTGAGCATAACCATTTCCGATTTGCTGTATTCACTTCAACAGGGAAAATGTATCCATCCTGACTGATGGAGTCAAAGCTACTGTTATAAGACATCTTGTGGCAACACAGTGTGGTTATGGAGGGACACTGTATGACTGTATATGTCTTTTTATTTCCTTTTAACTTGATGCACAGTTAAATTTGGCTTTTTTTATTTCTGATGATAGACTACAAGGGTAAATCTCAAATGTTTTGAGTAGTTTGGCCAACACACACAAAAAAACAGTCCTACGTATTAAACAGTCACATACACCAATATCCTATGGAGAGGAATCTGTTTTAAACTGAAATGCAGTCACTATAGTGGAAAAACATGAAATGCAATGACGTTACGTTTCCATAATCACATGCAGAGTATGTGTCAAAATGAAAAGCAAAACACCCACTGCATTGTTTTCAGCACATGAGGATTTGAATTTTAAGAACCAAAACGCTGAATTAGTGTTAGAATTTAATACAGTCCACAAATTACTTTTTTTTTTTAATTGTCTCCAAGTAAAAATAATTTGTTCTCTATAGAGAAAACACATAAATGTGACATTTTTTGGAAAATGTTAGTGCGTAATTGTCTACTTATTTTAACATATCGAAAAAAAAATTAAATATAAAATGCGCCACAATTTGCACTTGCTTTACTTATTTTTACCAATATATTTAAATCATCTAATAAACAGTAGTTGTTTATTAAAATGAGCATAAGTGAGTTCTCTGTAGAAGATGTTTTAACTTTAAAGTGAAAAGTTCAACACAACATGGAATTTGACTGGGGTTGCCCTTTGCATACGACTGTGTTTGTTTGAAGTGCTGCACGGTGGAAAGCAGTGTGGCTGTGCATTGGTTACATTTCAAGGTTTGTATTCAGTTCAGCATTTTGTTTTTTAACTTCATGTATTGTTTTTCAGTGAAAAGGTGAAAACAGCGTAGTGGGTGTTTTGCTTTTCATTTTGCCGCATATTCTGTACATATTCTGTAACGGTTGCATTTGTAATTCGCCACAGATTCCTCTCCGTAAATACCTGCCGTTAGCCTCAGGTGTCCCCTACCCAGTTCTGAGATGCTGTTTTGTGAGAAACTTTTGCTGTAAAGCTGCTTCAAAACCTGTTTTAGTGCAAAAAAATAACAAAACAAAAAAAAAAAAAACGCAGGTTTTACTCTGACCATAGCAATAGCCCGACTGCTTTTGTTTGTGTGAATGAGGGAGGGATACAGTGGTGTTTTTTTGTTTGTTCTGTTGTTTTTTTGTTTGTTTTGTGTGTGTATGTTTGTATTTGGTCAAATAAGTGCGACAGTGTGTTTGCGTGAGTGAGATATTCACTATTAAACTGTTTAATGCTGCTGCATGGAGGGAGATCTTTTCAGTGGGTCCCTGCCGGCACCTGTTCCGAGCACTAGAACCCGTCTTCAGGCACGCTCGCGTTGATGTATATTTTGTGTGGACCTTTATGCCAACGGAACTTGTTATCCCGAAAAAAAACTTATGCAAGAACAGCATCAATGTGTGACATTTTTAATACAAATAATCTGTTTTTTAAGTAGTTATTTAAGTAACTGATACTAATTTAACAAATTTGTGTTTTTTTTCTGTATTACTTGCTTTGGCTACATCCTGCTTTCTTTTAATACTCCAACAACTTTATCTATTGATATTTAAAGTGTGTTTTTTCTTGAGTCTCTTGAATATGAATCATTTATTAGAAGGGAAGTGTATTATGCATCTTTTCAAAGAGTGACATAATAGGTTTTGTTGTGATTTACATAATTTTTTTTGGTTACCAAGTTTCTTTGGCATAATCAACTCCTGATCTGTTTTATTCCCTTTAAGATCACTTTGTCAGTTTGTGGATGGGGTTTAAATGGGGTTGGAGGAGGACTAGGCTTGACCTTAATGACCTCTTGTACAGTACCGTGCAAAAGTTAGAGACCACTCTTTATTTACTTTCCAGTCAAAATGGCCATTGAGTTCAAGGTATTCTTTCTTCTGCATCAAACAAAAACAAGCAAAAAACGTTAACAGCTTCCATTCTTTTCAGGAGACTCACTTTCAGTTCCTCAAAGAATTTGCAGACACACCTCCACAGTTCAGTCTTAGAAGCTGGTTGATCATTTTCTGAAGTAATCAAACACATTCAGTGGTGTTGAGGTCTGGACTCTGGGGTGGTCAGTCCATCGTTCAGCTTCTTTGTTTGATGTGTCCGTCTCCTTTTCTCAGTGAGGTTCTTCTTGATCAGCTACACATCCTTTCAGACCCACAGCGCTGAGTCGTCTTCTCACAGTGGAAGGATGGACAGAAACACCTGTGGATGTTTTCAGATCTGAAGCAGCTTGATTTTCTCCTCTCTCTCCGAGATGAAAGCTTTAAGTGCTGTTTATCTGATGGGGGCAGTTTTGGTGTCTACCAGGTCTTCCAGGTGGTTGTCAGGAGTCTCATTTTCTTTGTTTTTTCTACTCCTGTTTTTTTCACTTATTTTCATTTAAATTTCCTCTTCGTTATACAAATCTTATATTTTATCTCCTCAGAAATATGTCTTGAAAAAGGAATAGCTTGTACTCAATAGCCGTTTTGACTGGAAATGAATTAAATGAAGTGTGGTGACTTTTGCACAGCGCTGCATATAACAGGGCCCTACCGATGTGTACATTTCGTAGCTGATGCCAATGTTGGCATCTTCACTCGCCGCCTTTTGTTTTCTTATCCTACAAGACCCCTTGGCTTTTGATTGTTTTGGCTCTCACAGATGCTCTACCATCTCACTTTGATTAGACCATGGCAACTGAGGCTTCCCACCACGATTGGTTGGTGATAAAGGGAAGTAACAGTTTTAAGTTGGTGAACATCAGGCCATTTTTTTGAACAACGTACAAACATAGAAGTGTTGTTTTGTACCATGTAGCTTCCATCCCCTCTTTCCCTTGTCCGGTCATCATCAGTAATGAGTTTAACAAGTCTGATGAGGACAGTAGCTTAGCCTGGAATCCATTTTCCTGTTAAAAACTTCAGCAGCATCAGCTAATACTGCAGCTGAGCCCCGAGTCACAAGTTTATTAGATACTCTTGGACTGTACCTACACTCATTGGCCATTTTATTAGCTATACATAGAGGTACCAAAAACTCTGAAAAATTCTTTGGAATGGTCCCATGCACTCTTAGCAAAAAGACTTCTATATAGTACCAAAAAGGGCTTCTTTGGCTTGTAACAATAGTTTTTGAAAAAGCATTCTATATAGAAACATCTACAACACACTCTACATCAGTTTGAAGAACCTTTCACAATGCAAAGGGTTTTTGAGTGTTCATGGTTGTATGTAGAACCGATTTCTTTACCAAAGAACCCCTGAAGAACTATTTTTTTAAGAGTGTAGAACAGTTGTTACCAGTCCTGCTCCTGGAGGTCTGCCTTCCTGGAGAGTTTAGCTGCAAACCTGATCCTTCAGAAGTTCTCAATTAGTTGAAGAAGGTTTTAGAATTGGGTGGGAGGGCAAACCTGCAGGAAGGTAGATCTCCAGGAGGAGCGTTGGTGACCACTAGAAGAACCACTTTTGGTTCCCTGAGGAAACTTGGACTGGATGGATCTTCGAAAGAGCTATTTTTGTGGACCTTTTTAAAGTTTGTAATGTAAAGGTTCTGTGCTAAAGTTGTCCCAGCCAAGAACCATTTAGGAGCCGGTATTGTTTAAGATGGACCTGACAAAATGCTGTGTGACACTCGTACCAGCACCACACACCTCTACCATGTCAGTGACACTGCTGTGCTCAAATTGGACCACAAATTGGAATTAACCTCAGCAGAGGTCCTATAGTGGTCCCTTTCTACTGATTACTGGAGTAGAGAATGGCTGATAGAACTGTGCAGCTTCAGTTAAGTAGTTCCAGCTACACACTTCCTATATGGTAGGTGTTTCCGGTAAAATGGCCAATGGATGTCACTCCAAGATATAACCAGCTGGCAACTCCGTGTACTAAAGATTGCAGCATCCATGATTCACTGAACATGATTTGGCACAGAAATCTCAAACAGGGATCCAGAGGTTGGGGTGAAAGAGAGTTCATTAATAAAACTGTTCATTAGTGGTTTTTCTTGGACTACTGGGCTGCTTTCCAATTAGGTACTGGAAAGCAGTCTGGTGTCAGTGTGTTGGACTTAACTGTGGTGTCCTTTCAGCATTTAAGCACATCTTTTCAATGGGAATGTTTGGGTTTTTACATCTGAGGTTCATGTTAAAGGCTAAACGAACAAACTAGTGACTAGTGGCCTGTCTCACAAAGCACGGTTCAAAAGCCTAACAAATGCAGCCACGATTAAATCATTTTACAACAATGGGTAACAACTTTCCAGGTTTAGATACTCAAGCTGTGATTAATCCTCATGCGCGTAAAAGCACAATGTTTGTTACGAACGGCTAATCATGTGAAACATGAAGTCGAACGGCCTGTTTTTCAAAGAAGAATGCTGTAAAGAAGAGCGTTAATAACGGTAAAATCAACGCTGCCACCATGTTGGTGCTTATTGGAGTAGTCAGTGTTTATAAAATTGAGATCTGTGCGGTATCATTTTTCCACATGATTGGCAAACGAGTGACCAGAAAGGTCCACCTCCATCAAAAGTGACCCCGATTGGTCAGAAACGCAGCTCTGATTCGTCTAACACAGGGGTCGGCAACCCAAATATTAAGAACAGCCATTTTATCCTTTCAGCAAAAATCAAACCACCTTGGGAGCCACAACATTTTATGTCCGTTTTACCATCTTGGCTGTGTGTCTCAGTATGTGTTAATGTACTAGTATAGGTTAAGCAACATAATGTAAACAAAACACAGACTTACTTTGCTCTGCTTTAAGCTTTAGCCGCTTTTCTCGCATCTCCAGCAGGAAACTTTTCCACAAAAGTAGAACAGTTTCTTGTAAAACGTCTCTCTACTTTTTACGAGGCTGAAGTCGCTTCTCATTCGCCAGCTTCTTGTTTGGATTTTTCCATTCCACTTTAAATTGTGCCGGAATGTAAATGCTGCACTATTTAAGGCGGAATGGGATAAATCGAATAAGACGCTGGCGCCCGAGAAGCTGACCTTAGCTTCGTGACTTTTTAATGTTTGACAGTTTCTCGTTGCAGATTAAACGTATCAGGAAACCGTTATTATGGACTTATTTAAACACAAATAAGTCCATAATAATGTCTCTAAATTATCGATGTTCATCTTAAATCTTTCTCTTTGCCTTTCCGTTAGCTGTTAGCTAGGCGAGATTGTTGTATGTGTTGCTATGGTGACCAGCAGTCTGCGCTGATCTTCAGGGTTAAAGGGCGAATCAGCAAGTCTACATTAACTCCAGAGTTTAAGAGCATTTATTGTTAAACTGTGTTGAACGATCAGCAGAGCTTTATTTTACTGTAAAGGAGGATTATTTTATTTTTACCTACAAATCTAATTCAGCTGCGGAGCCACAACAGGGCAGTAAAAGAGCCGCATGTTGCTGACCCCTGGTCTAACATCTGCTACTGGTCTGAAATCCCATTCTTAACCGGCCCTGGAGCGGGTTAGACATGCAGCACCCAGTTGCCATGGCAATAAAGTAATCTGTGAGAGGGGTAGGTTCAAGTTAGCTGGCTCAACTAATCCTGCATTGTGAGACAGACCCCAGCTCTCTGGAGTCAAGGGAGTCAGTATATTGATCAGTGACCGTTCTGAACTTGCTGTGGTCGTCTACAGCTTCCATTACCACATCATTATCTTCACTTCCACTCTGACTTAGTGGGACAGTCAGGGTGGGCAACACAAGCCACAGTTTACAGCTCCTCTACAGGAAACACTGACCATTTGGTCTGTCCAGTTGCTTTCAAGCCTTCACTGTTTGTTTTTTTGTTTGTTTGTAGTTGTTTTTCAATCAGTCGCCGTATATAGTTATCCATGAACAGCAATAACAATACGGAGCGGCCAGCTGAAAAGGTGGTCATCATAGATAACGTTATATGGAGGTTAGCGATAGATGTCACCTGCGTTTGAAACACACTCCCGATAAAGTAATCATGTTACTCTCTTTTCTTCTTCCTTTATTTTTGTCACTTTTTTGGACAGTATTTTAAGTTAATTGAAAATAAGTGTTAATACTTCTTTTTGTTGGCTTCTGCAAGTCCTCCATTTCCTTTAAATGATGAGTATGTAGAATAAAAGAACTATTTTAAGATAAATAAATAAACCTATTTAAAGAGTAAACGTGTGTCGGATCGTTTTTGATTTGTTGATTTGTTTTGGAAAGATAAGCGGAACTTTGGAAATCAGAAATCTTCCGATCCACAGGGAAGCATCAGGGCACACATTCCACGACACCCCACACCTTCGTGGGAAAGCGGCCCGCAACCTTTGACCTTCAGGCACTCGGGGGTGGGGGTTGAGGGCCAGGCAGCTGCCGCGAGAGGTCTGTTAAGTCCTCAAGACAAAAACCTTTACGCCCCCCCGTCACACGCACACTCTTCAGCTGTATGCTAATGTGTGCTGGTGCTCAGTCTGTTGCATTGATAGTCATTTTTCTTTTCTCTTTCTGGATGAGAGGAGTGAAATTCCAGGAGAAGTTCACTGAGTTTGCGATCCACCACATCTGTGCTGTAATGCCAGGAAGGTATAAAAATTACTAAAGTGAGTACCAGCTTTATTGCTGAAGGAAAAATATGAAAGGGTTTAAATAAATTGCAAAGCTTTGGAAAAGATAATATAGAAGTAATATAAACGGTGCTGTCCAAAAATCAGAGACCACACTTCGTTTCATTTCCAGTCAAAACAGCCATTAAGTTGTTTGTTTTTCCTGAGATATTTCTGAGGAGATTAGATATAAATGAAAACAACAGGAGTTTCCAAAATTAGAGTTCAAAAATTGATTAATAGCTACAGAGAAAATGTGTCTCCTAACAACCACCTGGAAGAGCTGGTCGACACCAAAACTGTCCCCATCAGATAAACAGCACTTAAAGCTTTCATCTCTGAGAGAGAGGAGAAAATCAAGCTGCTTCAGATCTGAAAACATCCACAGGTGTTTCTGTCCATCCTTCCACTGTGAGAAGACGACTCAGCGCTGTGGGTCTGAAAGGATGTGTAGCTGATCAAGAAGAACCTCACTGAGAAAAGGAGACGGACACATCAAACAAAGAAGCTGAACAATGGACTGACCACCCCAGAGTCCAGACCTCAACACCACTGAATGTGTTTGATTACTTCAGAAAATGATCAACCAGCTTCTAAGACTGAACTTTGGAGGTTGTGGAAAAATATCACTCAGTTTGTCTCAACACAAAACCTAATCTTAATCCTGAACCTGACCCTAGTCCTAACACTCTTGATAATCATCAAATGCTATGTTAACAATTTGAACAACTGTAGAAAATGTATAAGGGACTCTGAAAAAAGGTGTGACTAAATATGTATTATCATGTATGAAAATATAGATTTAATTTCATGACTATAAATGTATATTCTAACTCATTTTTGCATCTAGTACAGTTATCATATTCGCTTAGTAATCTTACACGGGGAGAACACGTAATCTTAAGACTATGCAGGTCATCTGAGTTAGAAGGTCTATCAATTCAATTCAAATTTTATAGCACTTCTAGGAACAGATGATGTTGGCATTGTTTAACTTGTGCTCAAAAAGTACTCAGGCAAGTACAGTAACCGAAGGCCTTTAATGCACCTCCAAAGAAGCAAATCTGAAATCCTCAGTGAGATGAAATCATTGGGCTCCCCACCACCGGCACCCCCGCCTGCAGAACAGCTGTCAGGCCTAGAAGGCCTGGGGCCACTCTCTCTCTTTCTGTCTCTATTACTCTCTAACTCTCTCTCTTTGTGGTAAGGAAGTGGATTACTAGTTAGTGAAGATCAGTGAACTAAGTATGAATATGAAGACTTCGCACAGGTGATTTATTAATAGGAATTGAACTGATTTTTCAACGTTTCTGCATAATGCAGTGGTTGAGATGGAAACCAAGTTATTCAGAGTGGTTTAAAGTGACTCCGCTTTCTTTACAGTGGTGGTGATGGGAACCAGAGGTCACCATGGCTACAACACAAATACAGACATTTTATTTACTGTCCAGAAACACCAGTGAACCTACACGGGTCTTCTGAGTTTATATATGGAATTTTATTAAAATGGTGGTAATTCTAAAAATATGTTTCGTTTCAGGGCTATTTTGCCTTAAAACACCCTTCATGTACCTCTCCACCGAGAATGGATTTTAAAATGCGTTTTAGGTCCAAACCTCCCCAAAACTTGTTTTTAGCTTTTCATTTAGGCTTTTAGCAGTGAACGTCTGGTTCCTATCACCACCACTGTGAACAAATCTGACTTGCTAAGTTTCTTTAGAACAGAGCGTTTCACACCAAACCACTCTGACTGACTTTGTTAACATCAGTGGAATTCATCTTTAACTTTTCCCTTTTTGCTTTATTGAGCTCAGTGTAGGCCTAATCGATTTATAAGTTTGCTCATTTCAAAGTAAGTTTCAGGATTTACATGTGTGTCTGTGTGGTGGTGGGGGGAGGCGGGGGTCTTCACCATGTGTTGTCGATGACAGACTGAACAGAAGGAGCACAGATAATCAGGGCCCAGACCTCAGTGTATGGGAGTGTTGAGCGGGGGGATGGGAGTATCCTGACATATGGGGCTTGCTGTGGTCAGTGGAGCCCCTTTCTGTCACTTCAGATCAACGGGCCTTACTGTTAAAACCATATTAAATTTACATTAAGGCCAAAGCGCATTCCAAATGGAAATCAATACAGGTGCCAATACATTCATCCACTTGTAGATGATCTTTCCCCCTCATAGTCAATTGATAAATCTTAAAAATAAAATGTATTTTTGGCCACTTAGAAGGGCATAGAGATTAATTGTCATTGTATAATGACTAGTGGTCAAAGCATAATATCCACAAGTGTTTTGTACACACACACACACACAGATATATGTATGTATATATATATATATATATATATATATATATATATATATATATATATATATATATATAGTGTGTGTGTGTATATATATATATACATACACTCACACATATGCATATATGTTCGCATTGTGTCGCTGACGCCTTCGTGACGTGTACATGTAAATAATGTAAATTTACGTAAATACGTCTTTAAAATAGATCGCTAATTCTTGTCAAATAATACTATAATATTATTTGGTGTTTCATATTGCCGAGTTCATTCTCACAAATCCACGCTATTTATTTATTTATTTCGCCTCTGCGCATGCGTACACGTCCGGTCGCTCTGACAACAAACCTCCCACTTGCTAATTCACAAAAGACTCCGGCGCGCCGCGATTGGCTGACGCCGCCGCTGCGGCGAGGGCGGTCCGCGCTGCCGATTGGCTCGCCGCCTGCCTGCGCCCGTCTGATTGGCCGGCTCTCTCTTTGTGTGCGAGGCAGCGGCGTCTCGGTCGCAGCGCTGTAGGTTAACCTAACGGTTCCGCGGAGGCGACGCGTCCATGGGCAGTACCGCCGACAAAGGAGCCAGGATGGTGTTAGTTCATGTCGGATATCTGGTTCTCCCCGTGTTCGGTTCAGTAAGAAGCAGAGGTATCGTAGTTATCCTTCATTTATTCCTCTCACTAACACCACTAACACGGACGGCAGTGCTGCCGCTCTTGCTGGAAAGACGACGACGCTGCTAGCACGGCGGCTAACGCTCCTTCTTAACGTTAGTAACGGTCGTTTTGTTTTCGTAAGATATGATGTATAAAATAAATACCGGCAGATAGAAAATATAGATATACTGGTGTATGTATGTAAAGACGTCAGTACGAATCATATCACAGTCCAAATTCGGCCAGAATTGACGCCAGCTTCTTTTTCGAATTTTCCCGTTCCACCTTAAATGGTGCAGCATTTACATTCTGGCGCCTGAGGTGCCAGAATGTAACTGCTGCACCATTTAAGGTGGAACGGTGGAATTCGAACAAGCAGCTGGCGAACAGGAGGGGGAAAACACCAGTATTCGTCTTTGATTCACATCCTTTGTGTCCTAACCGCAGTCTGCGGATTAATTCTCTCTTATTTCGCTCGATATTTTCACTGCCCTCCTTATTTGGCGTGTTAGTCGTTCGTTAATACGGTTTCAATAAGCTGTTAAATTCCCTCACGCCTCTCTGAGCGCTGATATTAATGAATAATTGACCATTTTGAGCCTCGCTAGGTGGGTAGCTAGTAGTGGATGCTGGCAGACCTGCGATAAATATCCTCAGATGAACTCGCTTTAAAATGCTCTTGAACTTCATTCATTAGCAGAATCCTCATAGTGATTGAAAGAAAATGAGGCCCATGCGAGAAATAAATAATATAAAGAGATAAATAAAATCCATCCTTATGCAGGATCTGTGCTGATTATGTGATAATAATGACGTATTATATATATATTACATATATAAGATCAGTATTTTTTGTTAAGGTCATGCCGTAGCCGGTTGATTTCATTGTGCTTGTCTTTCTGTTTTTCTTCTGTTTTTTCTCCTTGTTCCATAGTCTGGAGGCTGCCTCTACATCCCGCATTTCTCAGACCTCTCTCCCCCCTTCCATTGTGCTAAAGCCTCTCTGCCTGTCCCTCTACCTCATCCCCTCTTTCCATCCGAAGACGACATTGGCATTAAAAAAAAAACAAACAAACAAAAACCCCCCTCTCAGAATAACGTTCCCACTCATCCAGTATCCTTCTGTGTGAGGCTGCAGAATAACACATCTTCTTTATTTCCTCTTCTTTTTGTCGAAGAAGCCTCTGTCTCTGTTTTTAAAACTGTCATCGGTGGTCTTTTTTAACAGCCGACCCATTGTAGCGTTTAGCTATTACAGATGTCATTGTGATTGTCCCATTTCTTTTGTTTTGTTTTGTTTTTTTTTCCTCAGTGTGATTAGACTGACATCTTTTTTGGCTGTAAATTTCTGTGAAGTGGATGCGTTCGCCTCCTGGCTCGATCACAGCCGGGCTTGATCGAAGCCTGAGCGCTGTATGCCTCCTGTGTCGGGTGCATTGTGCCTGTGTAGACCAGCTTTACTATTATTATTATTATTATTATTATTATTATGGAAAGAAGTTGACTCTTTCCTGTCTTGTCTTGGTAAATGAAGTCATAACATAGATGGAGCCAGATCTAACGATAGCAGAACCTCGTGGAACATGGATCCAGGTGGAATAGCGCCTTGAAAATCCCAAACAGATCCTTTTATATGTGTATGGTTCAGCTCATCCAAAGGATCTACTAGTATTCTTCATTTCTGAGCTGAACAAAGGTTCCGTATTCTTGTACTGCTTTCTACAGTTTTTATACCGTAGTTTGTTTATATGCAAAGTTTTGGTGATTCAGCGTATTTCAGATTAACTTTAGCCTTCTATATGATTATCTTTGTTGATCAGAGTTGATATTAAAAGCCCATATTATGAAATAATTAATTTTCCCCACTGTTTTGAGATTAACATAGTATGTAAACAGTGTTAACATTTCAAACAGTAGCCTTTACTCCTCTGTCAGTATATCGCTGCTGTTGGAACAAAACCTCATTTTTCAGTTTTGACATAGTTTGAAAATGCCTGTTGTCCTTTACATTGTGTGTAAATTTCATGATGAATGAACCAAAAGAAACGACCCAAAATGACTTGGAAAAATGTCTGGTTCCATTGACTTACATTAAAAGTAAAGTATGTTTTTTCCTTCTCCTGTAAAGTCACCATTTTGGAGGTAGAAGGTTTTGTTTCCGACAGCAGCGATATGGAAACCTAGCTGCAAAAACAGCCCATTTTGAATTGTGATGTCACAAAAAACCAACACATTTATATATATATCTACCACAGTTTGACTCCGCCCACTCACACTGAAGTTATAAGCAGTGTTTCAAGCTGCTTTTTGAATGACTGCTCAATACAGGGCAGCCAATCAGAAACGAGCTCATTTATGAGTCAACAACAACAAAAAAAACTGTTTAATTCAATAACGAAGTAATGGAAAAAATATTTTTTTGGGACATAAAGAAATTTTTTTGGACTTAAAACCGCACATAGCCCCATGTTATAAGTGACAGCGGAAAAAATGTGAAAAAATAACGAATTGGATTGGATTGGATTGGAGGATTCCCTCTTTATTGTCTTTAGAGTTGGAGTAAACACACAGTGGCACAGTGTACCCGGTCACGCCGACTCCCATTCATTCCGCTTTTCACTCACGACGATTGCTGAGCGTGAGCCCAGCGCTAGCGTTCCTAGCACCTTGCGCTCTGCGGGCGCGAACGGCATCCACGTCACAGGAATCACTAGAACTGCACTGCTGTAGAAATTCCTGCTAGTATTTCAAAATGTCTTTATTTCTTTGGTTGTGGTTCTTTGCCTTCTGTTCTTGTATTAGGCTCTCTAATGCATGACCATGTTTGTTGATTTGTTGATTTATTTTCTTAATCCTTTGTGTTTTTGACATTTGGACAGCAAACTCCAATGTATCTTTGTGTAGAGATGTCCTGCTGTACTTACACGTGCTGTAGCATACACATCTACCCATTGGATGCTGCTTCTGTTGTGTTAACCTTACAGAGCATGGTCAGGCCTTGCCTCTGCTCTTTATTTGCATGGTATTATTATTATTATTATTATTATTATTATTATCACACAGTTCCACTCATACTAATATTTTCCAATAAAGACTGTAGTTTTTCCCTTAACCTTCAGTGTGTTCTCTGCTGATTTCCATGTGTCCTCCCTTCAAGCCCCACCCCTTTCCACTGTTTGGCCTCTTTGGCCCCTCCCCTCAGGCTCATTTCTCAGCTCCTCCCACTTGCCAAGCTGAATCATGGGAACTTTCACCCTCGTGCCTCTGGGAAACATAGCCGCTAGAACGCAGAGGCGAGCTGTCACTTTCGCTCAGTCCAAGCACATCTCCATCTGCACCTGTCTCGTTCTCTCTTTCCTTTCTTTCTTTCTCCCTTTCCTTCCTTTCTTCCTCTATCTACAAGCACATGATTCTTCGTTTTCTTAAACGGACCCAAAGCTTAAACCTGGCGGATGCTGTATTTACAGCTTTGGGATGATGTTCACCGTAGGGTCAGGTGTGGTGTGGGATCCGATCTAAATATTTGTTCTCATTGTTAAGTAAGAAAATGTTCACCTGGCCATGTTCAGAAGGAAAACACTGCACATAAACATATACCACTGACAGAACAGGCCCTAGAGCAGAGCTTTAAGTGGGCCCAGTCCTGAACACAGCCCAAGAATTTTATGTCCGAGGCCAACCCGGCCCAAAACGCAACCCAAAATTGGTCTAAACGCATCACATTTTGAGTCGATCCTGTCAGAAGCTGACCCTACCTGAACCACATCAAGTTTTGAGTCCAAAACTGATCCAAATCTGTCCATCATCGCCCAAAATGCAGAATAAAATCTGGCTGGACAGCACTGGTTACCATGTAGTGACAATATTAGCAACTAGATCACAGATAAAAATAATTTTTTTAAATAATACACTATAATAAAACAGCAGTTTAAGTACTGTCTTTAGTCTACCCTCTGGCTACAGATGGTTCTTTAGGGGTTCTTCAAGAAAGACAGTGGTTCTGTATAGAACCGTGAACACTCAGAACCGTTTGCATGGTGAAATGGTTCTCCAGATTGATGGTGAATGTGCTGTATATGGTTCTGTAGAGAACTTTTTGAAAAGGATACTATATAGCACCAAAAGAGCTTGACTTCACAACAATAGCAGACCCCTTTTTGGTGCTATGTACATACATTGTCCATCAATCTGAAGAACCTTTTCACCATGCAAAGAACAGCTTAACCATGCAGGTGATTCTTTGAGTGTTCATGGTTCTATGAAGAACCATGGTCTTCAGTAAGGAACCCTCGAAGAACCATCTTTTTTTAGAGTGTAGATAAACACTCCATTCTGCGCTGTTCTCATGCTGTGCGGTGCTGATACAGCAGGACGTTAGCATCACCTAAATCTTTTAAACCTAATTTTTTAAAAAATACTCTTGTCCAGACAAATTAAACGTCCATTTGGCTGCACTGATCAGTCCTTTTCTGAATGCTTTTGCTGTTTATTTCCCGCACGTCCATTTTCTTTGTAAAGCACTCATGTGGGTGACTCCAGCACACCAGATTAAAAATTTATTTATGGTAGTTAAAATAAAGAAGAAGAATAAACTAAGGAGAAAAACTAAACTGGGAGAAATGGAAGTGGGAGATGGACCCAGATTATTTGGAAAATGATGGCCGATGTGAGCAGCGAAGTCCCGTCAGGTTCGGACAGAGGTTTCAGTCTCTGCTACAGACTGTATCTGTGCCTGAATGCTGCACGTTGTGAAGTCTGGACATGGCCTGGTGTGCTCAGGTGGTAACAAACAACTTCCCCAAGCCTTCTAACAGGTGTGAAAAACAGCTGCGCTCGAGGGCCGTGACACTGCATCAGTGTTCTTCCTGCTCTACCACATCTGACATAATGACGTAATGAAGGCCTTGCTGATCTGATGAGTTAAATCAGCCATAGTAAAGCAAGGAAACGTTAAACGCTGCAGTGCTACGAAAACTCATTGGTTTAGATTACAGGCTAAAACATTTACAATGCATTTGTGTCAATAAACATGCCATACTCGTTGCTTTATAATACAGACTGGGCACTTCTTTCCTGCTCCTTTTTTACCCTAATTTGCATCATCGTTAACTATAATGCCAACCAGAAATAACACATCTGGAAAACTTAAAAGCCACAGGCGAGAAATCACAAAACGTGGCTTTCTGAATGTAGCGATATTAGCAGTGAATTTTAGGTGATGTGTATGTTTGTAATTTCAATGATCTAATCATTCAGATTCATCACGAGCCTCTACTAAACAAGAAGTGTTTAGATTAATGGTGGCAATATATTTTAAACAAAAATGAGGTTTTAAAGCAAAACTGATAAAAAGAACTGAGTTGTTTGTTCTGAAACTGTGATTTGCCCACGTCGTTAACTACCATGCTACCGTACTAAATAGTGCAGGGGTCGGCAGCATGCGGCTCTTCTACTGCCCTGTAATTCTGCTTCACAGCAGAATCAGATTTGTAGGTAAAAATAAAATAATCCTCCTTTACAGTAAAATAAAGCTCTGCTGATCGTTCAACACAGTTTAACAATAAATGGTCTTAAACTCTGGAGTTAATGTAGAACTGCTAATTCACCCTTTAACCCTGATGATCAGCGCAGACTGCTGGTCACCATAGCAACACAGACAACAGTCTCACCTAGCTAGTAGCTAACGAAAAGGCAAAGAGGATGATTTAAGACGAACATCGATAATTTGGAGACGAATGGACTTATTTGTGTTTATAATTCATCCTGATACGTTTAATCTGCAACAAGAAACTGTCAAACACTAAAAAGTCGTGAAGCTGAAGTCAGTTTCTCATTCGCCAGCTTCTCGTTAAATTTTTTCCGTTCCACCTTAAAAGGTGCAGCAGTTGTATTCCGGCGCCTCAGGCACCATTTAAGGTGGAACGGAGAAATTCAAACAAGAAGCTGGCGAATGAGAAGCGACTTCAGCCTCGTTGAAAGTCGAACATTCAGAGACATTTAACAAGAAACTGTTCTACTTTTGCGGAAAAGTTTCCTGCTGGAGATGGGAGAAAAGCAGCTATAGCTGAGCTAAAGCTTAAAGCAGAGCAAAGTAAGTCTGTGTTTTCATTTATATTATAGTTTTAGTCTATACTAGTACATCAGCACATACTGAGACATATTTACAGCCAAGATAAGTGGACATAAAATGTTGTGGCTCCAATGTAGTTTGATTTTTGTTGAAAGGACACAATGGCTCTTCTTAACATCAGGGTTGCTGACCCCTGAAATAATGTGACAAAAATAGTACAAAACCTTACGTGTTAGCAGTATGCAGTTGACAGAAATTAAACCACGATGGACAATTCTGCCAGTGACAATAGTATCGTCCGCAGCAGAGGAATAAACCGGATGTTGTTTTTTTGGGACCCATGAATGCCAAATGCTCCACTGTTCCAGATAAGTCCAGATGTACCTGCTATTATACAACAAAAAATACAAGCATACAGAGCAAGTTCCTTCCTTTTTCCGCTTAAATGAACAATATATTTATTACACTTTCCTTTGATAATCATCCATTTTCGCCCCAACACTAGCCACGTTTACATGCAGCCTGATAATCCGTTAATAATCCGACTAATAGCTCAATCAGAATAGAATACGTCCATGTAAACACCTCAATCGGAATAGTCTAATCCGATTGAGGCCATTCGGAATACAATTTCTATCCGATTAAACGAGGTGGGTAAACTTCTAAATAATCCGTTAAATAGAAGAATAATAGCCATGTAAACGCCTGAATCCGATTACATTCCAATCGGAACGTGTAAGTATGTTCTGCGCATGTACGTCGCGTCACGGCGAAAGTTTACACCGCTCAACATGGCGGAGCAGAAACTGGTCTGGACTTCACGTGATGTTCGCTGTCATGGTAACGTTTACTCTAAGCGCTACTCCACGCATGCGCGTCATTTTGCATCGGATTACTTGTAGTGAGCATGTAAACGAAGATTTTCCATCAGATTGTTGAATAGAGTGCATATAAACACCTCAGTCTAAATCTGTAATCGGATTGCATTCAATCGGATTGGCAAAAATCTTTGCATGTAAACATAGCCACTGTCACCCAGCCAACGTTTGTGACTTCATGCCGCCGTCAGTCTTGTACCACTGTGAGGCGAGGACAGCGCCAACATGTAAACGCAGCTATAGAAGTGCTTTCATTACTATAGTATGTGTAGTAATAGTATGAAGATTTGAGTGCAGTCATACACTGAGGGTTTTCTTAGGTATACTTATGATAGCTTGTTCAGCCATAGTTAGATTTTGTTTAGATCTACCAGCTTAAGATTTTCACACCACTGTAGAAAAGGCAGACCAGCTTATAATAACTTACTTACATTGGAGAATTAGTCCGTTAATCATTATCACAGCATCGACCTTCGCAACACCAATATCGCATAAGCATGCCATATGCAAATGAGCCTTTAATCAATCACTAAATATTTTATTGTGTGCTGTGGACATCCTGACCAATCACATGTTGTCTGGATGAATCAAGGCATTGATGTGGTCTAAGCATAAATACTTTTGGTCAAAAACAATGCAGGCCAACTCCTAAAGGCCCAGGGAACTAAATCCGTGATTTCGTTTAATTGCGTCAATCTTGCTCGAAATGACCAATGACCAATAAATGTCAAGAGAATTTCTCCCCTTTAGGTGTAAATTGGGTGTTCCTAATTCTGGGCTAAGCTTACGTAAGCTTTACCTTTACGCACCAAAGGGTGCTGTCCCTCAGTCTCTCTCTCTTCTCTGAGAAACTTGGTGAGCCAAAGCTAACATAGCAAGCTTGCAGGGTCAATAAAGTACATAACATGAGCATTTTAGGTATTTTACACTACAAGACTTTAAGCATGTCACATACAAACCCACACACAAGGGTTTAGAAATGAGATTTCAATATATAAGCTGTATAGCAACTATAAGATGTGGCAGTTGAACCATTTTGTCCATAATATGTAGCTTAAACAAGCATATTGAACAGCTGCATAAAGGGTGATAGTTAGCTCCAGTTAGGAATAAAATATCTGAGTAAACTGTTAACCCTGTTGGAGATTTATGCACCTTGTATTCACTTAGGGGGGCCAAAATGTTTATGGCAAAGATTCTCAGTTTATTAGCCTACTGTGCTGCATGTAGAGCACCAGTTAGTACAAGCAAGTGTAGAGAAACTGTCCCTAAGTGAAACTATTACTCAGTTAAAAGTGAAAGACTACATTTAGTGATAGACTGAAGTATGTAAAGCTAAAAAAGTGATTGTTTTAATAAATAAGTCAAAAGTTTTATTTATTGGCTGGTGTTGAATGTGGTGACTAATTAGCATTACACAAATATAAATGAACATAGCTGTGGGCAGTTTCATTGTACAGTGATCTGAGCTGTAATACAAATTCAAATTACATTCAAACACATCATGACTCAGATTGGCAGAAAAAGAGAAAAAAAATCTGGTGAGATTTTCAGTGCGAACTTTGAAGGTCTAAATGAAAACAAAAGATGTGAAAAGTATGTTTTTCTCCTCAAAATATCATTGACATCATCCAATTCCAATAATACTTGTTTCAAAATAATACTTAGGTGTAACACAAAGCGCAGTTATTCAAGTATTTTCCTTCCTTTTCCTGGAGAGTTTAGCGCTCCATTCTCCTGATCCAAGGCTTCAGCTGATTAGCACGGCCTTCATGAGATGAATACGGAGTATCAGAAGGGAGAAAACGCTCATTTCTTCAGAGCTGCCGCCCACCAAGCCCACCAGGAGTGGAGTTTAACCTTGTACATTTCATGATAAACCTTCCTCTATTCATTGGTGCTCAGATAATAACTAAACTGCTAAAGAGGCTAAGGGTAAAGGAAGGCTAGCTGTTCTTAGCTATCCCGTTTTGCACAATGATAAATAGAAACCTGCTAGCTTTCATTTATTATTAGCAGTGGCAGCATATCTGCTCGAGCCAACCCCCCTTTAAAAGGCAAACCAGCTGTTTATCGATTCAGACGTGCTCCACATTCTTATAGGGCAAATATATTTCAGCCGCTGATCTGTTTTCAATAGCAAATCTAAATACGTAAAACCCAAACGGGTAAGGTGGAGAGCTAATATGCTAATTAGGCTACTTATTGCTCTCAAGAATGCATATATAAGGCTACAGTTGGGCACTGGTTATTAGCATTAGCATTCAAAGCTAAATAC